CGTTTCACAGCTACGAAGCTGTTCATAACCTTGCTCGACTTCGACCAGCTCGCAAGAAGGGTTGGGAGGAGACGAGTTGAAAAACTTAACACGTTTCACAGCTACGAAGCTGTTCATAACCTTGCTCGACTTCGACCAGCTCGCAAGAAGGGTTGGGGAGAAGGTACACAGGAAACAGCAGCACAATAATTTGAAACACAATTAACACAAGCAACGAATGGAAAGAAGAGATCATATTAATATAAAAATTCATTACATTGTCAGTCGCCTCGACCTTTACAGACCTGAAAATAGGTCGAGAACGACGAAAAAAAGAGAAGAGAAGAAAAGAAGACAGCAAAACAAAAACAGCGGCACAGCCCCAAATCGGACAAACACATTCAAGAGTCGGCGTCCGACTTCTCGGCAGTGTCGTCCCCACCTTCCATCATTACAGTAGCAGACTTCTCGGGGTTCTCCCCATCAGCGTCCCTGTCGACAAGCGGCTTGGTCCCCTGCTGCTCATCCTCGACCTCGACCGCCTCTTCCCGACTAGCCCCACTTGCCCCGACTAGTTCGGTTGGACCGGACAAGGGGGTGGGAGGAGCCTCGAGTTGCCCGCTCAAGCCAGCCTTGCGGATGGCCCAAGCCTCGAGTCCCGACCACCATGGGTAATCGTCGGGGAGGGAGTCGTCGCCTAAATAGCCCTCGGGGAAGGGAAGCGTCTCCTTAACCGCCTCGCGGTCGAGCTTCCCCTCGAACTCAGAGCCCGCCACCACCGCCTCTCACGCGGCAAAGGTATGCTCAAAATACTGAAGGGTGGCGGGACAGAGCTTGTCGAGAAAGGCAGGAGAGTTGCAGAAGGCCTTGACGAGCTCCTGGCGGTAGGTTTCGAGGAAGACGGCGCCCATCGGGGACTTCAAAAACGTCCTACGCCCCGCCTCGACGCCGCTCTCTCTCTCGACCATAGCCTCATCACGAGCTTTGTCGAGGTCGACCTTGAGCTTATCATTCAAATGCCGAAAAATGGCCTTGTCGGCCTTCAGCTTGTCGACAAGGGCTTTAGAGGCCTCCAAATCCTCCTTCAGCGCCTCGATCTCCTGGCGTTGGGCCTCACACTTGTCCTCGAGGGACTTGGTGGAGGCGAGGGGAGCCTTGCTCGTCTCCTCGAAGCAAGGAAGCGCTGCTGCCAGGAACTGCGAAAGAATATGAGAAACAGGTTAAGGAAAAGATGGATTGAGTCTAAAGAAAAGAACGCAAGAGCCAAGTCGATAAGAGTTGGGAAAAATACCCGAGATAGACACTGAACGGCGTAATTTGAGCGCTCGTACAGATTCCACTCGACGCGCTCCTTGTCGTCCTCCGGGATGACGGAGTTGAGGTACTTGGCCACATGATACGGCTCTGGGTGATTCTAGAGCCGAGATGGCATCTTGACCGTCACGTCCTTGACGGTAATCGGGGAGGGACCTTTCTTCTCGACCGCCTTTCCTTTCCCCTTGTCGACTTTGCGACGCTTGAGATCGTCGGGGATGAGGACGGCGGCCCGATCGTCCTGGGCCCTCTTGCGAGAAGAGGAGCCCGACGATTTATGCTTGGATGCACCAGGGTTCTCGACCCTGGATTTTTGAGCAGTCGTCGCCTCGACAACCGCAGCGCCGGGCCTCGACTCGGAGCCGCCTGAGGGTCGAGAGGGGGGAGCAGGACCACCAGTCGACGGGCCGGAAGACTGGCCCTTCTTGAGCTCGAAGCGTTTGAGCGCTTTAACTGAAATAGTAGAAGAAAAGTTAGCAGGGAGAAAAACACTTAGCAGTCATGACGAAAATAATTATAACTCCTAAACAGTTGCACAAAAAAAAAAAGAGAGAACAATGACGGCTTACGGGGATCATCGAGACGAGGAAGGTCTTCATAAAAGACGATTCGAGCATGATTAACTAATTCACGGTCCTTTATTAGCTGACGAGCACTGTATGTGTGCTTATTTAACTCGGATAACAGCCGGGCAAACTCGTCAGAGCGGGGCCGTTTATTCTGCTTCACCTTCGAGGTGATCCATTTATTCACAAAGGGATACGTGCCAGGAGCAGGTCGAATGAAAACGAACTTCGACTTCCACTCGGTGACATTTGATGAAAGATCGTCAAGAAAGGTGACGCCGGCCCGACGACCCAGGCAGTGGGCGCCTTTGGAAAGTCGATAGCCATAGCAGTAGAAGAAAAAGTCGGGCGAAAAGAAATTGAGTGTTATTCGGGAGACGACTATAAAGGCTATCATAATGCGGATAGCATTCGGAGAAAATTGGTTTATGGGGATATTATACATGTTACTTATTAACAAGAGTTCGTCTTGGATAGGGAAGCGAAGGCCGAAGACGACTTGGTCTACAAAAAATGTATGGCAACCAGGAGGAGGATGAGCGAAATCGTCATTAGGACCTGGGGCGACTAACTCCCAGTCGGAAGGAAGCCCGCTAAACTTCCTGAAGCCCTCGACCTCGGCTGCAGAGGCATAACAAAAAGGATTTAAAACAGCTAACCTAACTAAGGGACAAGCTATTGATACAACATTTTGAGAATTAAGAAGTGGAACAATTAGTGGTACAGATACAGGGCTGGTTCTATAAACAGGGATATCTAATAACCTAAGGGGAATACCTCGAGGAATAAGATCAAGACGAGGAAGATTTCCTCGAGAAGGGCTCTTAACGATGTCGACTAAACCGCCCTCCAAGAGCGCTTGGTCATACTGCTCCCAGTCGGCAGAAGAGACAGTGGCGAGAGGAGGAGAAGAACGGGAAGGCGGGGAAACCATCCTATAGCCGGTTACTTCAACTGAATCAGAGCTAGAACCCTCGTTGGCTTGACAAATATAATCGTTGATTTGTTTACCGAGGGAGCCAGAAAGAGGAGACGAGTCGGAAGCTAAGAAAAGAAAAAAGGGGGGAGGAGGTCGAAGTTAGTAAAGTCACAAATAAGAACCTACAAGACTGAATCAGGACGACTCACAATAATCGACAGAAGAGGAAAGGGCAAAGAGGGGGCAATCGCTATCGGTGTCTTGACCTAAATAAATTAGTAAGTCGACCTCAGTCGACTCGAAAAGAGAAAACTGAAGAAAGAGGGCCACTAAGTCGACAATAGCCAACTCAGCGACAGGTGACAGTCGACTGCTCATTAGCAGCTGACGACTGGCGAAAAACATTAAGTCTTAATAGAATATGCGCGTAAAAGGATCCAACGCAGAACTTATAAGAAATCCGTGAAGAATATGAGGAACACACGAAAATTCCCAGAAGCCAGAAAAAATTGAAAAAGGGAAAAACCAACAAAAACGCAAAAAGTAAAAGAGATAAAGAACTTACACATGATGGCGCAGTTGTCTTGAACTGTGAATAAGCTTGGAGTTGCCGGAGAAAGAAACGCCGGAGAGCAGGTAGCACAGAAAGCGCCGGAGAGTTAAAAGCAGTTTAGAGCTCGAAAAATCGGAAGCGTGAAAAGCCACCCAAGGCAGACGCGCAATGTATTTATACTCGAGTAGAATAGAGGCGGATCGTTAGATCAATAGCTGAATCAACGATCCAGATGAAGCGTAGAATTCAAAAAGTCGGCGATGGAGGTGACGCGCATCAATTAGGGTTTTTTGAAATTTGAAATTTGAAATTTCAAAGGGGTCTGTCAGAGTGTCAGACTTATCCGAAAAAGCAATCATGAGGTTGAGATGCGCCCCGATGGATTGACGAGACGAGTTATCAAAGAGGACGAAGACGAGCAGGTACCACAGGAAGACAGCGAAGCTACATACCACCAAATTTACTCTTAAGCAGTCGACTACTTAGAGTAATTTTCGGGGGGGGACTAGATGATATGGCCACATAAGGATAACCCGGTCCAGAAGCTTATTACTCGACCGGCGAACCACTCGAATTACTCGCCCGTCGACATGACTCCGTCGACATGCCCAAATCAACTTCCCAAAGGTCGATTCTACTAAGAGCAATCAAGAAGAAGCCGAGATTGATCTAGTCGACTCTCGCAAGTCGACCTTAATCTACTGACTTTCACTAATCGACATCAATGAAGGAGGAATAGCAAAGCTCCCGGTCATCCAGATATTCTAAGTCGACCCCCAGAAGTCGACTGAACTAAGACGACTCTCTGAAGACGACTCCGCCTCAAAGAACTAGTCAAGCGTAGCCTCCGAATCCGCACATATCCACGAGTCGACTTCCTAGATCTCGAAGTCGACTTCACATACCTTAAATAACAAAGATGTGATGACGATTAACCACACTTGCAACATATCCAAAGCCCTCCACATCAGGAAAGATAAGAAGGAATCTCGCGATGACTCAGCAACAAAGGAGAGACGAATCGACAGGGGCATTTTGGACCTTCTAGATCCACCGACTTGGGCATTTTGGGCACTTCACGTAAGTATTCACTCTTATATAAAGGAGATGAGGTAACCCTAAAACCCTAACTCTCATTCATTCCCACTCTCCCCCATAGCTACTGCGCAGCCCCTCTTCATCACTCTCATACTGACTTGAGCGTCGGAGGCTCTACGCCGGAAACACCTCTGGCGTTGAGTGTTTGCAGGTATTCGTGCGGTCTAGCAACGGTTTCAAGGCGGTTCAAGCAGATCTGAGCTCACAACCACCGGTTTACTTCAGATCTAGAAGTAGACCCATCACCACCAAACACACACAAAACACACCCACACACACATAGAACACAGGCACACACAGACACAACACACGCACACACACTTTTCTGTCACACACACACACACACTTTGTTGTCACCCACACATAAAAACACACATACACACACATATACAGACACAGAGGCTTACATAAAATACACACACTTTTTGAACGCATCCCCTACCCTCCCCATGGCGCCGCGCAGGACCTGCGGCGCCGCCGCTGCCGCCTGAGAACATCTAAATCGCCGTCGTTGCGCCTCCCTCACAAACACGATTTCCAGATCGCCGCCATCTATGACGTCAGTGGCTCCGCTGGGAAACATGATGGCACTGCCAAAGTCGCACCTTCCTCACAGCCGCTGACGAGAAAATAATCCATCACAAATTCATTGCGCCGTGAATCTCGCACGGAGTGGCGGCTGGAAGTCGATTTCACTGCTATAAGCGGCGGGGCCGGAAGTCGATCGCCGGCTGACCGAGAACGGCGCCGACGAGAATCATGAAGTGGTGACAGGAATTGCAATTTGGACATAGGGATCTCATTTGACAATTTGATATGTACCAAGGACTTAATTGCAAATCTCATGAATTTTACTTATATTACAATTTAGTCATTGGTTAAAATTTTTAATTTATTAAAAAGTTAATATTTGAATTTCGGTTAATGAAAAGCACATTAATGCTAAGTAATTTGCACATAAATGCAGTGTTCTATAAGTCGCTAGGCGCCCGCTAGGCGTTCGACCAGCGCCTAACGCCTAGAGTGTCTAATCGGGGCCTAGAAATTATAATAAATATATTATTTTTTATTTATTTTCACAATTTTACTAGTGAAATTACAACTTATAATTAATAAATCCATACACCTAAGTTCCAATAATATTATTAATATAATATTATTATGAAAACATGATAGCAATTAACAACCCATATGACCACAAGATTGTACTAGCACATGCCATTGAGAAATCCTAAAAACAAAAGAGTGGAAAAATACATATGTAAGGTTGTTGCAAGAAAGAACAATACAATGAACATAAAATTATACTACCATTATTGTTTTTCACTTTTCAAATTTAAAGTTTTAAATTTATACTAATTTCTACTCATTTTAATTTCATCAAATACATTATCTACATATTATGTTTTAAAGTTTAAACATTACACAACATAATAGAATTATAGCAACCAAATAAACATCAAATTTAGTTTCACTAATCACAATTCACAGCAGGTAAATAACTAATTACATTAACATAGCTAATAATATAATAAAACACATTAATAACAAAACAAAATAAGGAATAAAAAGTTATGTGCACTGCCCACTGCCCAACGGCTTTTACAAAGTTAATCAAGTGGGATTATATAAACAATTAAACATAAACAAGATCTTTACAGACTAAGTGATTAATAAATAATAGTAATTACTAAAATGTTCTTTCATATTTCAAAACTTACAACTAAAGAATACAGATTCACAAGAGTCCAAAATAAAATAATACCTGAGGCCCGGCGTAAAGCTTGTGCTCTGGTGGACGAGGGACAAAATTCGACGGAGATAGGCAGTCCGGCGCAAGCGGATGGAACTGGAGGCTGATGAACTGGGAGTAGGAAATCGACGAGGGTTTCTAACTTTCTGTTTGTAAATTGCTTCTATTCTATTGATCTATTTAACTCTGCCCGTTTTTCTACTTTTTTTTATTAACATTTAAGCTAAATTTGAAAAACTTTTTTTTATTAACATTTAAGCTAAACACCGTCATTTCGTTGCTTAGTATTAAAAAAAAAAAAAAAATTGTCACGCCGCCGAGAAACCGCCTCAGCCGCCTAGTCCCGCTGAAACCGCGTAGCCGCCGAGGCCGTTGAGCTCCGCATAACTCCGCCTAGACCCGCCTGGCCGATTTTTATGGCCGATTTTCACAAATCGTAGGCGGCAAACCGCCGCCTAGCGCCTAGGCCGATTTTTAAAACACTGCATAAATGTTAAGTAATTTGCACAATTTTACTATAAACACATTAAAAAATGGGTGCAATACACAATGCACAATGTTGTTAGACAAGATGCACATTAACAATCGTCAGACTGCACAATACCGACCGAGACTGGCCTAAAATTTTCGATTTGAATACTACAATTTGATTATATGTTCGTGCTTTTAAAATTCGGTTATATCGATTTGATGACAATTTTTTTTTTAAATAATCAGTCTGACATAATTATATAAAAATACTATTTTTTATATAGTTTATATATATATTATAACTTTCGACAAAAAAAAATAGTATAAATATTAAATACTACATATATTTTATAATATTTATAATAAAATATTCTAATTATTTAGATTAACTCGGTTTATCAATCAAATGAGACAGTTGGTTCGGTTCAATGGATGTTTAGCTTGGGAAAAAATATTAAAAATGTTTGCATTGAGAGTGCACAATAATGCTAGATTAACTGCACATGACTGTCATACTGCACAATAGCAACTGAAAACAGACCGAAGTAAAATTTTCGTTTTGAATTTATATATTTCAGTCTGATTATCTGTTATTACTTTTAAAATTTTAAAGTTTCAGTTATTTTGTTTTGATGCCGACTTTCGGTGCAATTTATTTTTTATATGGGACAAAATTTCGATCATATTGATTTCTCCAAAAATTCGACTCGATTATTTAGGTCCTTCGGTTTGGTCAATGGACAACCCCATGCGCGGTGTCATATTGGTTGAATTACGAAATTTTAGATGTGTAGACAGACGCAATTCTATAATTTCATAAGCAAATATATATATATATATATATATATATATATATATATATATATATAGGGTCACGCTCCGGTGAGAATGACTCTTAATGCGAGAAATGAGAATAAATCGTAGCCATTAGATCCGATGATCTAATGGCTAATAAAAAAGTCAAATGTATACTTTCATTAAGGACAATGTAGTAATTTAGCACACTACACCTAATGAGGTGAACCCACTCCACTTTAATTAACCTACCAATTCCCAACCACTCACACACACCAACACACACAACACACACACCAATACACACGCACACCAACACATACACACACACACACATTCAGCCACCAAGCCCCACCACCTTCACCACCGGTGCCGCCGCCCCGCCACCATCTCCACCCACTCCCCCGCCCGCCGGAATACCCACAGCGCTGCTCTCACCTGCTTCTCAAACATCCCTTCCCCGCCACCATCCTCACCTGCTCCTCCAACATCCCTTCTCCGACCATCCTCCGACCGCCCCGTTCTCACCGCCGCATCACCTTCAGTTTGTCGTCGCAGCCTCACCTCTGAGATTCGACGCTGCCGCTTCCTACTGCAAACCGCCGCCGATCGCCACTACAACGATACCGCCGCTCGCCTCTGCAACTCCGCCGCCACTCGCCACTGCGACACCGCCGTCTCCGACACACACGCACACCATTCAAGCGTGCGATTCCGCCGCTCTCCTCCGACCCCACACACACAGAGACCGTCGCCTTCCTAAGCAGCCACTGTATTCCTCCGCCACAGGGCTCCAGGCGCGCCGCCTCCGACTGAGTAAATATCACCTGCGAACAGAGCTCCAGACAACGGTACAACCGTGACGAACATCAGTGACTGTCGAATCGCCGGAAAAAAAAGGCTTGAGATCTGAAAATCTGGGGTTGGGACTTTTTGTTGAGAATTAGGTTAAATCTAGGGACCTATTTGACATTTCATGAATTTAACTATATTTCAATTTAACCCCATGGTCAAATCTGTAAATAGTGAAAGTTAATAAAACAGGGGTTTTTATATATTTTTGGGCATATATATTAAATAACAAATAAATCATTTAATAAAATTAATATAAATTTGTAAATAATTTATAATAATAAGCAAGTTATATAATGAAATAATAAATGAAAATAAATTATTTAGGTTAATTAGATGTAAAATATAATAAATGAAAATATATTTTAATTATTTAGGTTAATTATATGTAAAATTATATCTATTAAAAATAGTTTTCGAGATACGCATGATAAATTATAAATTAGTGCACTTCATGTAACGGGATATTGCACTTTATAAAACAAAACGTTGAACTTCATAAAACGACACGTTGCACTTTATAACCGCATACCAATATTAATGTCAACGACCATAAATATAAAAAATAGAGCGACATAATACTTTACTATCCATCACATCATATATCCACGAAAAAGAAAAAAACACAATCCTGTTAAAATATCCAAAAATTTTAGTATTGCACTTTATATATCAATATATTACACTTTATACAACAATACATTGCACTTTATAACGCAACACGTTCCACATATTAAAATATCCAAACTTTAGTATTGCACTTTATATATCAATACTAGGGGTGGAATCGGTTCGGTTACCGAACCGATAAGCGTATACCGATACCGTACCGATAATGTCGGTAACCTCGGAAGCAAAACCGATACCGAACCGATTAAAGTCGGTTACCCGAAAATTCGGTAACCGAAAACTCGGTTTGGTTTCGGTTCGGTTTCGGTTTTATACCCAAAAAACCGAACCGATTTTGAGCACAAAAAAAAATTGCTAGTGTTTACTTTTCTCGTCATTTTTGTAATTTTTTTCACTTCTTACCAATTAAATACACACAAAAGACTCACAAATCCATTGAAGAATTAAAAAGCTTAAATTTAATATATAGAAGTTAATTTATATATTATTAGATTATGGTTTTTGTGGTAAACGCAACTAATAAAACAATATATTGCTAACATGCAAGAAATACAATTTGTGATACAACTTCAACTAACTTATCTAGTAACGGTGGTACGAGAATAGACTACAGTAACAGTAGCATGCATCTTCTTTAGAAGAAGTGAGACTGGTAAACCAACAATGTTCTGATTAGAAAGTGAATGAGGCGATGAGTAATGATATTTTTCTCGTCATTTTGAGATTTAGGTAGGATTGAGCCCTTATTTCAATTTTTGAACGCTAAACAACTAATCATTGTTTTAATATTTAAAAAAAAATCTTTGTTTTATTTTTTTTTTACCCTTATCGGTTCGGTATCGGTTTTACCGAACTCTTATGGGTTCAAACCGATACCGTACCGATAGTGATTCGGTAACCGGTAGTCGGTTACCGTTACAAGCGGTTCGGTATGGTTCGGTTTATTTTCCCGTCGGTTCGGTTTGGTTCGGTTCGGTTTTCGGTTAAAAAATGCCAGCCCTAATCAATACATTGCACTTTATACAGCAATATGTTGCACCTTATAACGCAACACATTCCACATATTAAAATTACAGTAATTCTAATGATTGATCGAATGATATTAGTTGGTTAATGTCGGATTTAGTTATTTTAAAATAAACAAGATAACCGAACATGCCAAACTATATGAAAAATATTACCGATTTCTTTTTATTTATTTATATTTTTTTATTATAAATGATACTATTTTGCTATCTATATTTTTTACGTATCGCGAGTGCACATTAGGGTTATACGGATTGCACATGAATGTCCCATAAATGTCTATAACCATAACAATAAAATCGTGCGTTTCCAGATGTTCAAATTTTTGTTGTTTCGGTCGGGTTCTGGCTTTAATAATAATAATAATAATAATAATAATAATAATAATAATAATAATAATAATAATAATAATGACACAACCGACCAAATTAAATAAAAATATTATATTTATATTTTACCTATATATATTCTTCATTTTGAACAACTAATAATATAAAATGAAAAAATTATAAACACTAAATATATTGTTATAAAAAGTATTTGCACTTCGAGTGCACGTTAGTGTTAGACGGATTGCACATTACTGATTGTCATATTGCACTATATCAACTGAAATAATATATTGTTGTACTTTTAATGTGCATTTTATCACATAATTATGTGCAATTTATGTAACATTATCATCCAATAATTAAACTTTTAGTATATTCCAAATTTGCCTCATGTGTCCAATTGAAATAAATTAAAACTCAAAAATTACAATTGAGCCCATATAATATATCAAATTTCCACAAATTAACCCCACAATTCCAAATCAAACCCATCCACCGTCCACCTCCGGCCACCCGTCCAGACGCCTCCGATATGGACACCTGTCGTCGTCTTCTTAGCCCAACACCCAACGCCGCCACCTCCCGCCGGTAGCAGATCGACAA